GCAAGTGCGAGCTCTTCAACATTCTAACAGGCACCATGATAGCGCAAAATCGCGAATCTTCAATGCATATGTAAAGAAATATACGGTAACCCGAATTTACCACACTCGCAAAATCGCACACAGCCAACCATACATCCAGTATGGTATCGCGATTCGCGATTTTGTGCTATCATACTGGGTGTATGGTCGGCTGTGTGCGATTTTGCGAGTGTGGTAAAATCGCATAACAGCAAAATCGCATAACAGCCGAGCATACACCCAGCAGCGCTGCTTATGCCTGAACGGTATGTGGAATGAAGTGGGCGGGCATCGGGAGGCCACTATGGCACGGGGCAAGCACTATGGGCATTCTATCTGAAGTGTACCTGGCGTATAAGACGACCCCCCACTTGGAGGCATATTTTTCAGGGCCAAAAAATCGTCTTATACGCCGGCAAATACGGTAAGTAAAATAAGTTCACTCGTGTGGAATCGAATGAACAAAGTAAACTAACAAAATAGAAACAGACTCATAGATAGAGAACAGCCAAAAGCTGTCAGAGGGGAGGGGATTTTCGGGATGAGTGAAAAAGTTGAAGGGATTAAGCAACAAACTACAGCCCTTCCCAGTGTGGCTCAGTTGGCTTCGTCCCATGCACTAGGAGGTCTCCAGTTTGATCAAGGGCACATGCCCAGGTTGTGGTCCCGATCCCCCGGTAGGAGGCATACAGGAGTTGGCTGTGGATGTGCTCTCACATCAATATTTTTCTCTCTCCCTCTCCCTTTCTCTCTCTCTTAAAAAGAAGAACAAAACAACAACTTGTAGATAAGGTGATTACCAGAGGGATAGGGCGTCAGGGGAGGTGAAAGAGGATAAAAGGGGGATAAATGGTGATGGAAGGGGACTTGACTTGTGGTGAATACAATACAGTATCCAGGTGATGTATTATAGAATTATACACTTGAAGCCTATATAATTTGTTAACCAATGTCACCCCAGCAAATTAAATAAAAAAGCAAAGAAAAATTTAGTTCACAGATGGGACTATTTGCCCATAATCACATATGTGTGTCACACCAAAGCACTCTGTCCACATCTTCAGATTCTCATATACTACTTAACCTGGACCTGTTATAAAAAGCTTCCTCAGGTTTTTGTATCTTAAAATCCCGATCCTGAAAAGGCATCCTTTTTAGAACATCCTAACATTTTTTAATGTTAAGCTTGGAAAAAAATGTGGTCATTGAATATATTACTTTGATGACTTCTTTCCCTCTACCCAGTAAGTCTGAGGTGTTTTTTTCCTCTCAATTTATTATTTCAGCTGAGCGATAGGAAGAAAGTCAGTTGGTGAATTCACACCTCAGAAGAATATTTCTTCTGTGAAAGAAGGTATACTTGTTGCCAGGAATTAGGAGGAGGAAAGGTGTATTTCAACCCTACTAGATTCAGAAGTGGAGGCATTGATAAGAAGCTCGTTTTGGGATGGGTGAAGTAACAACCTAGACTACTAGACTCTCTGTCTATCTTAGTGATTTCTCTCCTTTTTTTTTTTTTACTCGCTGTTATAGGGTCAAGGGCAACCTGATTTTTGAGAGAGTGTTGACCTTCCCTCCATAGCCAAGAGAGCTCTGCGTTATGTGTGTGCTAGGTTAAGGTAACAGGGCTCAGGCAAATGATATTTCCTTGGGAGATTCTGATGATAAAGCCCATAGATAAGTTCATTTGTTAGGTTTAGCCTAGGATTTAGGAGTTGTCCCTCCTCTAAGCATTCCCTTGGTAACACCAGGCTCCTGAGAGACATAGCTCAGTTATTTGATGAAGTCACCATTCTTTCCTTTGTGGGCGGTCAGAACCTGTCTCTGTCCATTGAACCTGCATTCAGTGCTGATGAGGGTCCCTGTTAGCCTTCTACTTGTTTTTCTTTGTCCATGCATATAAAACACAAGAAAGTATTACATGGATTTGTACAAGTGGCTTTATGTATTCTTTTTTTCTTTTTTCTCAGGGGTGAGGGAGCTGGAGAGGGGCAAATGGTGATGAAGGGGGCCTAGACCTTGGTGATTTTGAAGGGAGGGGGGAGGTTGACAGATTCTCTGCCCCTTACTTATTTAATTTATTTTAGAGAGAGAGGAAGGGAGAGGGGTAGAGAGAAAAACATCAATGAGAGAGAAACATAGATCGCTGTCCCAAGCATGCCCCCTGCTGGAGATTGAGCTTGCAACCCAGGCATGTGCCCTGACCAAGAATTGAACCAGCGACTTTGTGGTGCATGGGACAATGCTCAACCATTGAGCCACTCCAGCTGGGCCAAGTGCCTTTACTGTTTTTCCTTTATAATAATAGATCTACCTGTAATCATAACAGCAGTTCTTCTCGTCAGGCAATGAGATCACGATTTTGTAAAACTGTTCCCTTTGAGTATGCATTGTTATTAAGTAAATTTGCTTTGTTTTTAGATAGTGTGTAAGGATTATTTTTTGTACATTAATTCTTATGGTTAAGAGGTATGTTTAGATTCCAAATACCAAAGAAAAGGGGGTTCTCTCTGTAAGAATATGACTGCTTAGTATTACCACATAATGGTGAGTTTGTTTCTTGGGATTCTTTGATTAGAATATAGTAACCCCTTGAAACTACCCCAAAGCTGGGCAAAGGTGTTCTTAGCATTCCAGTCAAGGAAAATTGGTACGTTTTTAGCCCTGGAAGAGAGTCACTCAAGTTTTGACCAAATAGTTATGTAATCATGGACTACCTATAACTTTTTCTTTTTTTAAAAAAGTATACATTTCTGAGGACTAATAGTATGTAAGACTAGTATTTGATCTTACTAAACATGTATTTTTTGTAGTTTATACACTCAGATACTTATTTTCATACTGTGAAATTGATTTGTCAAGTAAGGCATGATCTCTTTTGAAAGAAAGTCGAATGTAATTATCCCCCTCGTGTTAATGATTATCTTTTGAAGTCTATTAAATCTTGAGTATGTTTCCTGAGTTTTTTGTATTTATAATGTGTTTGTTGCCTTCAGAGCATGAAGATTTTTTAACAGTTGCAGAGTCCCTGAAGAAAGAATTTGACAGTCCAGAAACTGCTGACCTAAAGTTCAGAATTGATGGGAAATATATCCATGTCCATAAAGCTGTTTTGAAAATCAGGTATTTTTGCATGAGCTTGAGACATCAATAAGCTTCTTTCCTTTTTATGATATCTGTTCCCTTGTTACTCCATAAAATGGGGACTAATAAGAAACAGCCTTGGCAATAGAGGGAAATGACACCGCCCCATATTTTTGCAGATAGCCTCAATCCATTCATTATTGAAGAGTTTTGCATGCACACGTGTGTGTGCATGTGCACATGTGTCTTTTTAAAAAAGCGTAATGTAGTAGTATTGCCAAAACCGGTTTGGCTCAGTGGATAGAGCATCAGCCTGTGGACTGAAAGGTCCCAGGTTCCATTCTGGTCAGGGGCATGTACCTGGGTTGCGGGCACATCCCCAGTGGGAGATGTGTAGGAGGCAGCTGATCAATGTTTCTCTCTCAGTGATGTTTCTAACTCTCTATCTCTCTCCCTTCCTCTCTGTGAAGGATCAATAAAATATATTTAAAAAAAATAAAAAAATAAAAAAGCATAATGTAGTAGTATAAGTATTTGTCTATATATATTTTTATAAATATATTTTAATTGATTTTTTTAGAGAGAGAAAGGGAGAGGGATAGAGAGATAGAAACATGAATGAGAGAGAAACATCCATCGGCTGCCTCCGGAATTGAGCCCACAACCCAGGCATGTGCCCTGACCTGGAATTGAACTGTTGACCTCTTGGTTTATGGGCCAACGTGCAACCACTGAGCAACACTGGCCAGGCTGTCTATATTGTTTTTAAATGAAGGATCTTGTGAATATTTATTTCCATCAAAAGCCTTATTTACATGGTCAAAAACCCCCATAAAAGATTGTCAAGGAAAAGTGTATATATGCCTCCTTTTGCTGTTAATTAAAAATTTATTTTTCTCAAGCAGAAAACTCTGGAATGGTGGTCTTCTGGCTCGAGGGACATCTAATTCCCAATTAAAGAAGTGTTGGTTAGCTATATGTCAGGAGTTCTTTGTATAAATGTGAGGGAACTTTGTATTTATTAGTAATTGTTTGGACTGTTGCTTACTAAGGCTGCCTTTACAGAGACCAGTGCAAACAAAGTCAGTCCATTGAGAATTAAACTGGCCACTTACATGTCTTTTTGTAAATTTAGTCAAAAACCTATTTACAAAATAACGTTAAAGGGAATTGAAAAGTCCATATATCATTCATTACTTAAGAGGTAAATATCTGTACCAAAGTATTAATTGAAAGATGACCTGGAAATGTTTGTGTCTGTGAACCTGTGGACACCAGTCTTCCTTTCATGTATAGTTTTCTGACCCATTTTATCTACTATTCCTTGCTTAGATACCCATTTCTTTTTACTTCTCAGATGAAGTAATTTTTTTAAAATATATTTTATTGATTTTTTACAGAGAGGAAAGGAGAGGGATAGAGAGTTAGAAACATCGATGAGAGAGAAACATCGCTCAGCTGCCTCCTGCACACCCCCTACTGGGGATGTGCCTGCAACTAAGGTACATGCCCTTGACTGGAATCGAACCTGGGACCTTTCAGTCCACAGGCTGATGCTCTATCCACTGAGCCAAACCAGTTAGGGCAATTTTTTAGGTAAATGGCCATTTTTTTTTTGTATTCTGATTTTAAAAGATGGTTTTTTAAACCTATAAAGTATGTCATACTTTAAGAAAACTATATTCAGAAATCAGTTCTTGAATTTATGGGTAGATTTGTACATGTTATACAATACATATTTCATAAAACCCCTTAGGTTTTCTTGAAATATGTGACTATAAGTAAACTAGTGTCTCAGTGCACGGATTTGTGCACATTGAAGGAAATTAATTAGAATAAATATTTTAATATTCCTATTCATGTCTTGCTAATGAAAAGAAAATAGATTCTACCGAGTCTCCTATCTTACTCCAGGATTTCTGTGAGGATCAAATGAGATGAGGTACAGGAAAATGCTTCACAAATATTTGGATAAACTGTAAATTATTTGCACCTGGCTATAAAGCAAGTCAGGTTCCTGGGCTGAAGAAACTCCAGGGAGGCTAGTCGCTATGTGACATCATTACCCGGCACCCACAGCAACTGTTTTTGGGCTGGCTAGGCAGTGGGCCGCATTTTGCGCCATGGGTTCTTGGCAGCGTTGGCTGCGGTTTGGTGGGGTGTTGCTCTGGGGTGGTGGCGGGGCCTGTGTCCCACTCGGGGGAAGCTGAGTGTTGGTTTGTCAGCGCCAGGTCCGTGGGGCCATTTATTTTTAAATGGCCAGTGTGCGTCACAGTAGCTCCTGCATTGAGCATCTGCCCCTGGTGGTCAGTGCATGTCATAGCTACCAGTTGGATGGATGGACACAGCCTTTTATGTATATAGATTGGTAACAGCTTGGAAAGAGAGGAAAGGGGCAAGGCAAAGCAAAGAAACAAAATAGGAGTGGTAGCCATTTTGAAAACTAGTCAGAAAGAGGATAATTGTCATGTAAGGTAATGGAACAATAATCAGTTTAAATGCAATGCATTAACATTTGAAACAGTTTTAAGAATATGCTGATTAGCATTTTTCACAGTGGCCAAGACATGGAGACAGCCAGTGTGTCCTAGGATAGAGGACTGGATAAAGAAGATGTGGTACATATTATACTATGGAATACTACTCAGCCATAAGAAAGGATAAAATACTGCCATTTGTAACCACATGGATGTACCTTGAGAATATTGTGCTAAGTGAAATAAGTCAGGCAGAAAAAGCTAAACACCATATGCTTTCACTCATATGTAGGATATAAAACTGAAAATCATAGCCGTAGACAACAGTATGGTGGTTGCCAAAGGGAAGTGGGTAGGGTACTACATGGTAACAGAAGATGATTTGACTTTGGTGGTGAGCACACAGTGCAATATACAGATCTTGTAACAAAGAAATGCACACCTGAAGTCTGTATGCTCCTACTAACCAATGTCACCCCAATAAATTTGACTTCAAAAAGATTAAAAAATGAATATGATGATTATATTAAAAACAACAACAAATAAATGGCCTAGCCCAGTGGTCAGCAAACCGCGGCTCATGAGCCACATGTGGCTCTTTGGCCCCTTGAGTGTGGCTCTTCCACAAAATAACCACGTGTGGGTATGCATGGACAGTGCGATTGAAACTTCGTGGCCCATACACAGAAGTCGGTTTTCGGCCTGGGCGAATCTATTTTCAAGAAGTGGCGTTAGAAGAAGTGGGGGGTGTCGGTCGGGTGGGTGATGGGAGACGCAGGCGGGCTGTGGGATACGCAGTGTGGAGGAGGTACATTGTTTTGAGGTACGTTCGCTGAGGTCGACCCCTTCCAACTCTCCCATCCACACTCGTCTATCTGAAACAAGTAGACAAGACGAATGTGGATGGGAGAGTTGGAAGGGGTCAACCTCAGCGAACATACCTCAATCAGATTGAGGACGTTTTTAGCAAAGGCCAGCTTAGGAGTACCCTAATTAAGTTAATAACAATGTACCTACCTATATAGTTTAAGTTTAAAAAATTTGGCTCTCAAAAGAAATTTCAATTGTTGTACTGTTGATATTTGGCTCTGTTGACTAATGAGTTTGCCGACCACGGGCCTAGCCGGATTGGCTCAGTGTATAGAGCATCGGCCTGCGGACCAAAGGGTCCCAGTTTCGATTCCAGTCAAAGGCACATAACCTCTGTTGCAGGCTCCTCCCCAGTCCGGACCCTGGTCAAGACTTGTGCAGGAGGCAACCAATCAATGTGCTTCTCTCACATCAGTATTTCTCTGTGTCTTTCCCTTTCTCTTCCACTCTCTCTAAAAATCAATGGAAAAATATCCTCGGGTGAGGATCAAAAAAAACCCAAAAACCTACAAATGAATCATTTAAATATGTTACTTCATAGTGATATGTTTGAACTCTTATTTTTTAATTTCCTTTAATTTCATTATTTAAAATGCATTCCTATACATTTTTTTTTACTTTATTATTATTATTTTTATTGCTTAAAGTATTACAAAGGGTATTACATATGTGTCCATTGCCCCCCCACCCCCCGCTCCTATACATTTTTAAAAATATATATTTTTATTGATTTCAGTTAGGAAGGGAGCGAGAGATAGAAACATCAATGATGAGAGAGAATCATTGATTGGCTGCCTCCTGCACGCCCCCCACAATCCAGGTATGTGCCCTTGACTGGAATCAAACCTGGGACCCTTTAGTCCCCAGGCTGATGCTCTATCCATTGAGCCAAACCAGCTAGGGCTCCTGTTGTTTTAAAAAACAAGTGAGCAAGATGTCTTGATATGAATGGGGATTGTCAAATGGAAACAGCAGTAATGCACAAGTGCTAGGCACTCCTAGGCTCTACATAGAATTATTTTTTAAAATATATATTTTTTGATTTCAGAGAGAGAGAGGGAGATAGAAACATCAATAAATAGAATCATTGATTGGTGGCCTCCTGCATGCCCCCTACTGGGTATTGATCCCGCAACCCGGGCATGTGCCCTGACCAAAGTCAAAATGTGAGCTCTTGGTTCATAGGTTGATGCTCAATCACTGAGCCACACTGACTGGACTACATATAATTCTTAATATTTCATAGGAAGCATTCATCAAAAATGAAAGTCATGCCCTGGTCAGGTGGCTCAGTTGGTTGGGGTATCATCCCATACACCAAAAGGTTGTGAGTTTGATTCCTGGTCCGGGCACATACCTAGGTTGTGGGTCCAATCCCTGGTCGGGGCTCGTACCGGAGACAACCAATTGATGTTTCTCCTCACATTGATTGTTTCTCTCTCTCCCTTCCTCTCTCTCCCAAAATCAATAAAAACATATCCTTGATTGAAGGTTTAAAAACATGAAAATGAGTGTACATAAAAGGCAAATATAAAAATTCTTGCACATGGGATTTTTTTTAGAGTCCTAGCTAAAGATTCATGATCCTGGTGTGTGGAAGCCCAAATATAGTAGTTAAAGATACCTGTAGTATTTGTTTAACTGATTCCATCAACTGAATTGACTTTCTGTTCCATTTTAGGTGTGAGCACTTCCGATCCATGTTTCAGTCTTATTGGAATGAGGACATGAAAGAAGTAATAGAAATAGACCAGTTTTCTTACCCAGTGTATCGTGCCTTTCTTCAGTTCCTCTACACAGACACGGTGGACCTGCCCCCTGAAGATGCTATAGGTACTCGGCCACATTGGGACTGGCCATATCATATGGTCAAAAATATAGCTCCTCATCTTCTTATAATATTGAAACATGAAGAGTTTCAGGTTTATTGGTTTTTAAAAAATATTTGAAGTAAATATCTTTAAAATAATATTGTATAGTTATGGTTAATAATTTTGGACTTATTTTGTGGACTTATTTTAATTTTTTAATACTGAAGTATAACTTGATAATGGATTTATCATGTCATTTTAGAAAAAAATGAGTGGGAAATTTCATTTTTTGCCTTTCTCTGTACTGTAGAAGAAATTGTATAAAGTGAGTAGAAGAGAGGTTTGTTTGGGGAGTTGGAGAGGTAAGGAGTAACAAAGAGAACTTAATAAAATTCAAGTATTATTCACTAAGAAACTTCTGATTACCTACATTACTCTGTGCACCAGAAACAAAATAAATACATATATATATATATACACACATATATACACACACACACACACACACACACACACACATATGTGTATGTTTAAATTATGGGACATTATCGTAAACTTTATTAAAACTGCTATACTTTTAACTTGTAGGTCTTTTGGATTTGGCGACTTCTTACTGTGAAAACAGACTGAAAAAACTTTGTCAGCACATTATCAAGCAAGGAATCACTGTGGAGAATGCCTTTTCATTATTCTCTGCTGCAGTCAGATACGATGCAGAGGTAATGTAAAACCACAAACAGAAACTCAAACCAGCCCTCACTCCCTGTATGCCCCTTTCTCTCTTTTTTCTCACTTCGACAAGGACCATGATGAGTAACTTCCTTTCTACTTAGGAATCAGTGAAGTGACTGATCCCTGAACAATGAAATCTGGCCTTGCTTCTTTATTTTCTGTTCTTAGTTTCAAAATTATTATTCCTCTTTTCCTTCTTAACTAAGATAAGAAATTGAGGTCCCAGCAGCTGTACTGCTGGTTGGAATACAAAGTGCACACCTAATTGGACTAACAAACCACGTATTTTAGTTCAAGTATTTCTCAAGGTCAGCATATATGTTTTTTTAAGACCACTTTGCTGTCCCTCCGCTCTACCATGTCGTACGCCATGGATGCCATATAATTTATATCTGTTTGTGCTCTGAAATTCTATCATTGTCTAACTATAACAGTTATTCGTGTGTTAAGAACTTGCTCTGGAATCCTTTTTGTCTATTTTTTATTTACACTGGATTGAATTCTTAATTTTGGGATTCATGGATCTCTTAAGAGTGTGATTGAAAAGGCTTTGGGAGTCTGACATTTTGTATTTATGTGCATTTTCTCGAAGTGAAGAACCATAGCTCCTCATGAGCAGGAACTGGGTCTTACTCATCCGTGCATCCTGTGGTGCCTGGCACATAGTAGGCTCTGGATGATACATGTTTGTTGAACCACCCAAAGGGAGCTTTAGGGATGCTTAGTGAACTAAAGGTTGGTATGGTTGGTTTTACAAATTCACAGGGAATAAAAGGTAGAGAGCAGTAGCTTTGGAGTTCACGACGTCTAGTTAAGATCTCCACCCTAAAGGGCACAATTTGTCTAGTATTGTAGGTATTCTGTCATCATATTATGCGACAGAATACCTGGTTCCAGGGAATTTACCAAACACCTGCAAGGATCTGCAGCTGTGGCCTTGGAGAGGTTGTGGAGGACAGACTTCCTCCTTACCACACTTAGGGATCGAAGTGCGCCATTATGGCTTGTGTTTTCAAAATGTGTACTATTTTTATTTGAGATTATGTTACTATTATAAATATTTGATAAGGTCAAATATAGCTGACTTTCTCTGTAGCCTTTTCAACAGATGGAATAATGATCAAAAGATATTTCTAATAGAAAATGGAAGTATAGTTTTTCCTCCTGCCCTTTCTTTGATATGAGCTTCATTAGAAATGCTATTTCCGCCCTGGCCAGCTTGGCTCAGTGGGTAGAGCGTTAGCCTGCAGACTGAAGGGTCCCAGGTTCGATTCTGGCCAAGGACACATGCCTGGGTTGCGGGCTTGGTCCCCAGTGGGGGGTGTGTAGGAGGCAGCCGATCGGTGATTCTCAAATCATTGATGTTTCTATCTCTCTCTCCTTCTCCCTTCCTCTCTGAAATCAATAAATAAATATATTTTTAAAAAAAGAAATGCTATTTCCTTAGATTTAATTCCCACCCAATGATCTAATTTTAAATTGCCAGTGTCTTTTCTCTCCATGTTGTGATTGATTTTAAAATCTTGTCTGTGTCTCTCCATATTCCTCCCCATTGCTAATGAGTTTCACATTTTGGGGGTGGGATCTTGCTGACTAAAACCACCTGGACAGAGATAAACATCTCGGCTCTAGTTGCTGAAACTTTCTTCCTCACTTCTAGCTAACATGTACCCCAGAAAGTTTATAGAAAAGTCTTATGTTAGCTGATCATTTCCTTGACTATTTTTTTTCTTAATTAAATATAAACACATTAAAAATAAAACCCATTATTTGAGACCACAAATGCATGGGATCTCCCGGAGTCTGCCACAATATGGGCATATAGTTAGTATTAAAAAATATACATTGAGTTAAATTCATGAATGAATGTATTTAAAACACGTAATCATGAAGATGTGCTTATTAAAAAACTTTAAAAAAACATACAAGTATAACACATTCAATATGGAAAAATTGAGGAGACAGAAATAAAAAGAATCACCCTTTTTTCTCCCTGCGTGATCTACAATAATAATCTGCTTTGTGTTGATATTTACTGCTGTGTTGCTAACAATTACCTGAAAGAGATGTTGGGGTGCTTCACTGGGCTGGAAAAAGTTTAGCTAAATCAGAAAGCAGGTCTAATTAAGCAGGTTTATCTATATATATATAAAAGGCTAAGTTGACTCGCACATGAGCAGTATATATATAAAGCTCTCGCTGGCGACAGTCGCATGCGTGTGTTTCAATCTGTCATTGTCAATCATGAATTTGGTTGACACTTCTATTATAGAGAAAGGGCGAATAGTGATATGAAAATATTTCTTCTAATTAATTTCCTTTAATGTGCACGAATCCATGCACCAATCACTAGTACAAATGTAACACAGTCAATATGGAAAAATTATAAAATAGAGAGGAGACAAAAATAAAAAGAATCACTTTCTTTGGTGGTTTTTGTTGTTGTTGTTCTGATAGGAGTTACATAATTGACAAATTTAATTTTTATTTTCTTAATGTTATTGGATGTAGTAAATGAATAAATGAAGTCTTTAGAATATAAAAATAAAACACACTATGTCTGTTAGTTGATGGGAAGCTACTACTAAGCCACTTGAAATTAGCTGCAAAAACTGTTATTTTCAGAAGCTCAACTTGAGGATACTTGATGCCTTTGCCTTCATTCTGTGGGTTGAAATGCTAGGAAGATGGAGACCACCTGCTTCTCATGTTTCTTCCCTTTTCTATAAAAGTTATTATTGTTCCTCCATACACCCTTTGAGAAGATAATCTTTAAGCAAATGTGCACACATAAAAGCAACAAAAATGTATTGACTCACTACTTATGAAGAGTTTTTAAAATTAACTATGTGGGGTCCTGTCATTATGAATGAAACTTTCTATAAAGGAAAGAGGGACTTGGAGAAGGAGCACGTAAGTCATCCTCTAGCATAAATCTGAATAAATACTGACATGAAGGGAGAAAATGTGAGTAAAACATTGTCTCGAGGTACTTCTGTGTCACATTATAAAAAACTTGAAATGTTTCTGTTTATACTGTTTCAGGAAATTTTTGTTTTCTATGTATATTTGAACTTTAGGAGGAACAGTTGGGAAGTATTATTTGTTTAATCAGATTAGAGAATTTTCCAGAAAATCCTACTTGTTGAGTAACTTGTATCTGAGGATTTTGTTTTTGTTGGGAAGCCATAAATATGAGCCCAGAAATGTAATTCCAAAAGTGGTTTGGGATGTGAGTATTGGAAAACTTCACGCTAAAGTCAGATGGTCAGCATTTTTCTTCTTCTTTCTGAGGGCCAGATTACAAGTTTTCTATGACCAGTAGACTGTAAAATATGTTTGGGGTAATGGGAGAAGGCACCTTTCTCTATTTTTCCATATGGTAAGATATTTAAATACATTCTTAGAAAAAACACCCACTTCAATATGAAATATTTTGTACTTGATATATTATAAAATGAATTCCAGACTTACGGTTTAGGGGCTTTGTTTTACAATTATTTTAACAAGTTTGGACAGTTAGTTATGGTTCGCCATCTCTTGTCACCTGCATGTGTCTCAAGAGTGGCTTGTGACATGAAGGCAGCCTGTCTTACTGTGGCCAAGTCCACAGGAAGTCTTAGCATTCAGCTATTTTAGTTTTGGTATTTTAGGACTGGATAACTCCATTAAATAAAATTGCATTTTTAAAATGTTGATATTAAGCCCTGGCTAGGTAGCTCAGTTGGTTGGAGCATCCTCCCGATATGCCATGGTTGTAGGTTCTATCCCCAGTCAGGGCACATACAAGTATCAACCAGTGAATGTATAAATAGGTGGAACAACAAATTGTTGTTTTTCTCTCTGCCTCTCTCTAAAATCATAAGTAAAACATTTTTTTAAATTGATATTAAGACCATCAATTCTCTTGTTACTAAAGAAAATCTGTGGGAAGGAAGGAAAAACAACTTGTGTTTTGAGTATGTATAGTGACTGAAATAATTAAATCAAGTATTAAAAATTTGGAATGAGATTATAAGTTATTTCAGTATAGCAGTTTTTAATTTTGATCTTCCTTGCTAATTACAACAAATCTGATGTTTTATGCTATTTGCCTTTATAACAATTTCACCACAAAATGTCATAAACATGGACTTCAGTTCTAAAATACTAATGATAACACCGTGTTAGGTTTTGCATCTCCCACTTCCCTATTCAATGGGCCTTGAGAAAACTCTTTCATTCTGTCATTCTTGTCCTTGGAAAGGTTTTATTTAAAGCCCAGCAATCATGTTATAGTTGATATATTGATTGGGTAAGAGTTGCATTTTCTTTTTTAAGCAGTAGAAGATCTGATCATTTGCAGAATGCGATGAACAGATCATGTAGGTTCTTACAGTATTTAAGAATTATCACAAAGATGTTTATCTAATTCACACATTTAAGGCAAACTGGTTCAGGGCATTGGTTGCTCAATGAATTTGCTTGGCTATGCCACTCTCGAATTCATGCAAATGAATTTGCATATTCCAGTTTCTCTTTCCAAGTGCTTTCAATGCTTCCTTTTCCATAGATCTGCCTTCACCAAGGTTCAATTAGTTTCTTAAACAATGGATATTTAGATTATTTTCAATACTCCCTAGATTTTTGTTTTTAAGCCTCACGTGAGGATATTTTTCCATTGCTTTTATATAGAGTAGAGGGAGCGGGGGGAGAGATTGATGTGTCCGCAGATTGCCTCCTGCACGCTCCTGGACTGGGACTGGAGAATGAACCTGCAGCCTAGGTACTAGTATGTGCTCTTAACCTGGAATGGAACCTGCCACCCTTCCGTGCGCGGGACCAATGCTCTAACCATGGAGCCCTACCAGCCAGGGCCCTAGTTAGACTTTTAATGTTTGAAACTGTTAAACATATGTTGAATATTGAGAAATCTCACCAATTCAAAGGCAGTTTGATAGAACTATTTTTATTGACATATGAACTGATTTGTAATTAGAAGCACAGTTTGCATTTTTTTTTTAATGTTTCTATTGATGAAAGAGGGAGAGAGCGAGACAGACAGACAGACAGACATCGACCTGCTGCCTCCTGCATGTCCCCAATGGGGGGATTGAGCCCACAACCTGGGCATGTGCCCTGACTGGGAATAAAACATGACCTCCTAGTTCACAGGTCAACACTCAATCATTGAGTAACACTGGCCAGGCTTCTTTTCCTTTGAATCTGAGATTATATAATTAAAACGTAATATTTAAAGATCCTTATCTGATATATTACATGGTTTGAAGAACTTTCTTGCTCATGACTGGCTACTTCTTCCTAAGTTAGGGTAAACTAGTTTTCTATTTTTGATAAATAAGATCAAAGTATATCTTCCTGTGTTTTATATAGCTTAGCATTTTAATTTACTATAACACTCAGAGCATTCAGTTGTACATTTATTCAATCCACTCGCTATCTCTTATTAAAAATATGGATTCAGCCCTGACCGGTTTGGTTCAGTGGATAGAGCATCGGCGTGTGTACTCAAGGGTCCCAGGTTCGATTCCGGCCAAGGGCATGCACCTTGGTTGCGGGCATATCCCCAGTAGGGGGTGTGCAGGAGGCAGCTGAGCGATGTTTCTCTCTCATCAATGTTTCTAACTCTCTATCCCTCTCCTTTCCTCTCTGTAAAAAAAATTAATAAAATATATTAAAAAATATGGATTCAGAGATTGTGCTAACATTTTAAATGCATTTTGAATTATCTAGAAAATAAAACTCTGGCAGTGGCTGGCTGGTATACATTAGATGGAGTTTATCTCCTACTGGTTATATTCCTGGAGGGGAGTATCCTCCTTTCAGTGGAGACAGAGGCTCCTCAGGAGAAAGGGAGTCTTTATTCGCAGAGGTCTGCACCGAGAGAGCAAAAAAGGTGTGTGTTCATATGTTTGTGTGAGTCCTTCCCCATTTTGCCTAAAATTCTCATTTCATGGTTGCTGGAAATGTGAAGTCAAGACTGTACCATTTAAATGTTGTTGAATTCCTGGTTTGATAGGACCCTGAGTACCTCCACAGTATCCAGCAAAGTGATAAAAGTCAAGCTATTTGTGATAAAAGTTATTAGTGGGATTTGCTTTTATATACTTAGTCTTGGTATATTTTCCTGGTACCTCATTGATTTAATATATGTTCCAACATACGAAGGAACAAACAACATTAGAGTCTTGCTGGGGATGACAGGTTGTACTAGTTAGGCAGAAATCGATTTTTAAATTTTTCTGGTTTACCATTTGTATATATTACTTTCCCGAATGGTGGTGGTGGTGACTTCCATTTGTCTGACTGAAAATCCAATCTCTGAATATTCTTCTTTCTGTTAACCATCTAAGAAATTGGTGTGATGGAAGTTGTTGAGTGTTATTCTTGAAGGCATTTGTATTTAGGAGAGCATGAAAGTAAATTTAAGGCCCTTGGAAATTTTTTTAATGCGTCACTTTAGGTTGACTACACCTCTTCAACGCTTTTCTAATTCTTATAGTCTCCCCCCCCCCTTTTTATTTTTTGTAGTCTCTGCCTTAAACTAAGTAACCCATATCTTAATTCTTTTCTCTGACTTCTTGAATGTGGTAAAACATATGATTGGGACTAAAGTTGCGTTCGTTTTTTAAAATCATGTTAAGTATGACTAGACTGTGTGATAACCATGAGGAAACTTCCCCTCATGGACTGTGTGTGTGCATGTGGGTATGTTTTGAAGAGTCAGACGAGATAGGGAACCGTTGCTTTTACTGTGTTGTGAGTAAATAGCACATGCTTTTCTGACACCTATCTGTGGCCACTTTTTTGCCTAATTTGAGGTTTCTGGACTCAACTATCCTTTCTGGGGGAGGGGGAGGTACTCGGGGTGAAGGGTTTGGAGAGAGTAATTCAATTAAGGTTAATTTAAAAAGGCCTCTTCTTGTTTTTATTTTTGTTGTGTGTGTCCAGGATTTAGAAGAATTCTGCTTTAAGTTTTGCATCAATCATTTGACAGAAGTCACACAGACTGCAGCATTTTGGCAAATGGATGGCCCTCTGCTAAAGGAATTCATTGCTAAAGCCAGTAAATGTGGAGCCTTTAAGAACTGAAGCCAAGGCTGCTGGGTTATGTGTGAGTGCTCTGGGGCACTGGTGATGGTGTGTCTTTTGTGCTCTACTGGTGATATGCTGCAGGTAAAAACCATCAGGTTGTCTTTTCATATCTGGGAGACAATTCTGTGTAGGAATATATGAAGGATATACGGCTTTTCCTGAACTTACTTCTTTTCATATCTGAGACACAATTCTCTGTGTAAGAATATATGAAGGATATATGGCTTTTTCTGAACTTACTTTAAACAACTCTTGTTTCCAGACATGTATATTTTAAATGTGACTCTCAGTTTGTCTGGAACACTATAAAAGGGTGAAAGTTTAGCTGGTTGTTTTTTTGTTTTTCATTAGAGGAATTTATGAACTTGGAAAGGGGATGTTTGTGGCAACTCTCCTGGCTCACTTATCAGCAATCCGTTTGACACTAGGGGTGGTGATAGTTTGTGAATTGTGAGTTAGACATAGAGGCCCCACCATGAATTAAAGATGCTGACTTTGGGGCTTACTGAATTACTGCATTAGTTGCTAGCTCAACTGCCTTACTGTGAAAGAATAGCTGAGATATTTTGAGACTTTTTTGTGTGTGTTTGCACTATTGGACTTTTTCTTAACTTCATGGTGTATGAAAATAATATTAAGTTTAATATGAGTTAAATCTATTGAAATGATAATTATGTTAAGATAAATTTTTAGATTAGCCAAGATTTCTCTTAAGACTTAAGCACATAAAGAGTAGTAATTTAGAACTGTGAAAAGTTGATAATGAAAGGAATTTGGACAAAGGTGAATGTTTTATAACTTAGAATCTCCACTACTATTTAACGATGTTTTATTTAAGATAAAATTTGAGAACTCAAGTTTAAATTGCCCCTTCCTCCACACACGTTTTCCCCTATAAAAATGACATATTCAATATACTCTTGCCTTCCTAAATTGTGGCTGCTAAATCATCAGATCTGCTACATATGATTCAAAGAAAAAGTTCTTAAAACCAACTCTCTTACAGGACTTAAAGGAATTAGTTTTCTCTCTTATCTAGACCAAATCCATCACCAATTTGCTTATTTGAAACTTCGCCAGCTTTTACTTTTGGTTTTCCTCTCCTTTTAATTGTGTTAGGTCTAATATTTAGCACAATTGGACCTTGAAAAAGGATCAAAATTATGGGATTTTTTGTTTTGTTTTTGGGGGTCTGGTTATGAAGTGTGATTTGGAAGGTAAGAATATTCAACTCTTAAGCTTTGTCGTGTGTGTCAGTTGCTTTAAGAACAAAGCTCTGTTCTGCCCTCCAATCCACGGACTCATTTCCATTTGTGGGAGTTCTCTTAGCAAATTCTGTTTCCTGCCTAGAAGGTCCTCCCATCTGAACTTGGAGCCTAAATACATTTTCAGATCAAATGTATTTATAAATTAGAATCTCCACTACTATTTAACGATGTTTTATTTTATTAAGATAAAATTTGAGAACTCAAGTTTAAATTGCCCCTTCCTGCACACACGTTTTCCCCTATAAAAATGACATATTCAATATACTCTTGCCTAAATACATTTTCAGATTAACAAGAGGGTGAAGAGATGCGGCAGCTATTATTTTTAGCAGTGTTTTTGAGTGTATGTGTAGCAGGGAGTGAGGGCCCGAAGCTAGAAATTCATTGACAGGTAAAACATATGCAAATCTAGAAGTCCCAGCCCCCATTTCTTGACCATGTTGCTAGTGATTGAAGTCCAGTGATTAGGTTAGAACTGGTTCTGTAACATGATAGAACTTTTCTTACTAGGTTGATAATACATATTAATTTAATTAATTATGGTGGGTAGTGTTTATAACAATCACTGTTCTGTAGGCTTATTTTGATCTGGACAAAACATGAACTTCAGTATGTTTACTATTGCTCTTACTTGAAAAAAGGACTATGAAAAGCACAAATTAGAGTAGTAGGTCCATTTCCATACATGGTTCATTCATTGAACAAATATTTGTGAAGAACCTCTTCTCATATTATTGAGTAATTTGTGTGAGTATGTATGTAGTGAAGAGAACAGGAATAAGTCCTTCAAAATTGTTTATCTTTTTTTAAAAATATATACTTATTTTTCTACTTGGTTTTGTTGTTAATCATAGAGATGAAAACTATTCTTTGAATTGCTTTTTTCATCTGATGTAATAATGAAAACCAAAGTATTCATATTTCCTAAAATAGCCCTAAATGTACTGTTGATCTTCTTACTGGAACAATGTTTGATACTCTAATGTATAGGTTGTATTTATGTAATGTTTAGAATGACATATTAATAAATAAAGCTGTCTGTTAAAAAGAGGCGTGTAGTTGTTCCACCACCCTCCTCAAAAATCAGTAATATGCAGCCATAAAAAGAAAGTCTGACATATGCTGCAACTTGGATGAACCTTGAAGACATTACGCTAGGTTCACTAAGCCAGTCACCAGAGGACAAAGACTGTATGATTCCACTATGTGAAGTACATGTCACAGTCAGAGACTTTCAGAAAGTAGGTGGTGGTTGCCAGGGACTCCAGGGAGGAAGAAATGGGGAGTCACAGTTACAGAGTTACAGCTGTGCAAGATGAAAAGAGTTCTGTGGATGGACAGCAGTGGGGGTAGCAAAACAATGAATTTACTTAACGCTACAGAACTGTGCACATAAACATAGTTAACGTGGTAAATTTTACAACTTAAAAAAATCTGTACTATGAGTCTTAGCAGGTATCAGGCTAAAAATAGATACCACCATGAACATGTGTCAACTGCATCTGAACTGCACACACACCCCTATAAAAATCCTTTGATTTATTTCTGCTGAAAGATAGTACAGTTGAACTGTCACAGCAGAAAAACCTGAATCCTTTGGGGTACTTATAAGTGAAGGAAAAGACATAAGTAGTCCCTGACCTCAAGGAAAGTACACATTATAGGAAAGGTTTAGGAGTTAACACAGTAACATATCTATAAACAGCTTTTCATGATAGTGAGAGAAAACGTGAGAGAGTTAATACGAGAAGCATATCTGAAGACGTTTGTGCGGTGTGGGGGAAAACATAAGTGTCCTGTCAGCTTATTCCCAAAACACATTAAGTGGCACAAGCAAAGGCTTACAGGTGGGAGCTGATGAGCCTTCCAGAGCCTGACATGAGCAAGTCTGGTTGAGTAGAAAAGCCAGGGTCTGAGAGGTGGAAATGCTGGCAAGGGGAGGATGTGTGTATGTGAGAACATTTATTTCCCACGGTGCCAAGCATCATGCCCTGTGCTGCACGTACATTTTTTTTCATGCCCACATTTTGTACCATAAGGTAGGCAGGATTGGGCTCAGATAGATTAAACAATGTGATTAAAGTTTTTCAGTACTAAGTGATAGAGCTCAAGTACAAAACCGGGTCTGAGTTTCCCTGACATTTGCTTACTTTGTGACTGCAAAACATGAGCTGCATTGTGCCAGAGTAATCTTGTGAATGACAGATTGAATTTGAAAATAACGTGGGGGGACAGAGGTTTTCTTTAAAATAAAGAACATGAAGTCAGAACTATTACTCAGTGTCAGGGGCAGAAGCTGAGTTACCATACAGACCAGGGGAATCTGACTCAGTGGGTCTGGGATGGAGTCTTGGCTGTTAGTTTGTTAAGTCCCCCAGGCGATTCTGATGTGCAAATTTGAGAGCCACTGACCTTGATTTTTGTCCCTCAGGTAAGAATGACTTAGGCTAGGGTTGCCTTTACAACAGGTATGGACCCATTCTCTTTTCACCTACATCATATTCTTCTCTGAACAGATATTTTTTTGAGTACTTACTACATACCTGGCATCAATGCTCAGACTTAATCAAACTCATTTTGAAATGTAGCATTATTGCCCTGGCCACTTTGGCTCAGTGGATACAGTGTCCTCTCAAGGGCACATACCTCATTTGCAGGCTCGATCCCTGGCTCTGATCAGGGTGCATGTGGGAGGCAAACAACTGATGTCTCTCTCAGATGGATGTTTCTCTCTCTGTTTCTCCCCCTCCCTTACACTCTAAGAAATCAATGGAAAAATACCCTTGGATGAGAACTAACAACAATAAGAAATGTAGGATTATTGTGAATTAAGGTACTATAGTAAAAATTAGAAATGTGAATGTAAGGTTGAGAAAAATCGTAACTATCATTTTTTTTCATTCTTACATATTCTCACTGATATTCTTATTCAGAGTCCAATTTTAAATCTGTGTTTATTTTGAAGATGATATATTTCTATGTGATGACTGTGGCTGAGAAGAAATTTAAAAAGCAGACTTTGTGACAAGAAAACAGGCAAATTTGGTACAAGTAAAATAAAATACTCAAATTTATTATATCTAAGAGGCATTATGGGCTAGAAATAGTTTCAAAAGATAAAAACAGTTTATGTATTTATTGAACAAACATTTATGGAGCATGCTGGGTGCTTGGGAATGTGATAGTAAGCAAACACTGAATAGTTAGTTCCTGCCCTCAGAGCTGATACTCCAGCAGTGTGATATAAGTACAGTGGATTATACTGGAAAGTGTTATGAAGGAAAAGTACTCTCAGATGGAATAAGTGGGAGGAACATGTATAATAAGATCTGCAGAGGGAGCAGTTAGAGGAAGGCAAAAGAGCAGTTAAGACTTCACAACAGGATGTGCTAAAGGCCCTGGGGGCAGGGGCACCTGGTGCGTTACTGTAATCAACCTAGATCAGCGGTTGCCAACCAGAGGTCCGAAAGGTTGGCGACTGCTGACCTATTTCACTGGAGTATGAGAAGGGTGGAGGCAATGTGTCAGCAGGA